CCTCACCTCCCCAGTCAGATTACTACATTCCATTCTATCCTGATAATAGAATGAAACTAAAAAAATCCCCAAGTATTTACATTCTGCTTTCTTGGAATCCTTTCTCTGATCCTCCGTGCCCAGCAAGAACGAAAGACCATTTCAGTAGTTCAGTGCTGGAATGCATGGGGCTCAATCACACAAATGGTAGAAACAGGTAAGTGGATCTGCTCGTCCAGTCAATGGAAAGCAGATTGAGATCCAGGCACTGATATTTTTCCCCACTGGAGTTAAAGGAGGCAGATAAGGTTTTTTCCTTCTTCTATTTCTTCTTGCACTTTGTCACTGGATGTGGCTATTTCAGCTTGCGCCGAGAAGACTGCACAGATGAACGTCAGAATAGTGCCACCAATAGCTGTGTAGAAAGCCCAGCCCAAGGAGCAGTCTCCTAGTTTGTAAGCAGAAGCATAAGGTCCACAATAGCTTATTGCTTTCTGGCATCCCCAACCTGCAGGGTAAAGCATCAAGCCTAAGATAAGGAAGAGGCCTAGAAATAAAAACAGAAAGAAGTTTAACAAATGATCAGTTTAACACCAAATGCAACACATGTAGTAACAGTTAACATGGTCACTACTCACCGCTAAGTACCAGGATTACGAGAAGACCCTTCCTCATCCATCCAATCTTCCTTTACTGATTGTTCCTGACTATATACTGTGCAGTGTTTTATCTAAATTTGGAGCTATCCTGTGGTTTTTCTTATGAAAGGCTTATTTCACATGATAATGGCCTAGTTCCCAATTTTAATCTCTGTATTCCTTCTACATTGTTTTCACACATTATTGCTAGGTATACAGAGCTTGCAAAACATTCAAGCATCTCTACCTACTGTTCATACTTGCACTTTCCAAATACTTAGGAATGTTTGCATCTACTTTTGAGTTTGTGTTTAGCCAGCCCTCATTCAGCTTTATTTAGTCATTCATCATAAACATTTTTGCCTGTTTTCCTCTGGATTTTTCATACTTCTTTTTTTTTTTCTTCCCAGGCAAGAAAATCAATCTCGCCCTGCACCTGCTTATTTGGCCACATTAGGACACAGCAGAAAAATAATACTGCCAGTTCAGTAAGCTGCTTTCATAATGAAGAGATTCTAGAGTCAGCCTCAAACAAACGGATCTGAGTACCCAGGGCCAGTGCATAGGTAACGCTGGGATCCTCTACACAGGCGATCGACTGCTGCAGAAGGAAAGCACAGTTCTAGTGATGCAGGAGCAAATGCCTCAACTCCCCATCTTGCTAACTGCCCGAAAGCCCTGCTGTGCCTCAGGCCTGAAGTAAAAAGCTCAGACTAGATGTTTTGCCCATCTGCTCATCTCCCATATTCATAGTTTTCTCCCCTGTGAGGACCAGTCTTTATCTAAGGAGTGAAGGGCTTCATTAGGGAAATTAAAAGTCACATGCATACATGATGCGTGTTTGCACAAAAATGAGAGATTTAATCAAAATGCCTAATGTGCTAGTGGCTACAATGCTCTCTTAGGCCTGCTAAAAAAACCACAGTGAGTTAAAAACAGATCTCCCTCCTACAAGGTATGTAGGAAGGAGCTAAACATCAGGACAGCTCATAGGTATCAAAATTTGCTTTCTCTTTTCTTCAAAATTTTATTCAGAGGAATTCTGTTTTTGCTTAAACACAACCAGTTTATCCAGAAAATGAATACAGCCTTCCGGATCCCATAAATATTACCAATTTATTTGTCCTGCACTGTAAAGCCCTTTATTCAACCTGGCACATTGATGAAAATAGCTGGTAAAGGTGCTGTCACCTTCTAGAAGTGGGCTGAAAGTTGTGCTTTTTATGTATGGTGCTGGTTCATCCATTAGATTTGATCTAGTCCCAAAATTTCTACCAAGTAATAAAATAGAAAACAGTCCTCTTTTCTTCCCTATACTAAGATTACCAAGAACAGCTGTAAAGACTTCTTCACATCTTCTTCAATTCAGTTAGACTAGCCTATTCTGCAGTACATTAGGTTTCCTTAATTGTTCGTTTAAAGAAATTCAGCTAGATGAAAGAAAACTTCCTCACTAAGGAAGAAAAGCTGGGTCCTAGCTAGTAAGCAGTTAATATACACAAAATGCAAAAACCATCATCCAACTGTCTAAAATTAATGTCTATGAATGCCAGACATTTCACAAAGGAAAGTCCTTCCTCCAGCGTTTTTCTAACAATGACACAACACCATGGGCATGAATGAACTAAATGTCATTATTCTTTGGGGTGGCAAAATCCATTAGTGAGTAATATCCATTCTCTGTGAACGAATTTCATCACTGCTTACATTTAAGAACCAATGACAAATTTTATGCAGTGTTTCCTGGCTGATTGGCCAAACTATGTTAAGTATAAATTATTGCTTTATCTTGGACAGACCTGGATAAGCTGTGCTTTCATCCTGCTGAGCCCTGCAGCCCTTTCAGACTAAACGCCAGCAGTTCCTTCTCCTCTATTCATCACTAGTTTCCTGTTCTGCGTAACCAGCATGACCACACTATGTATTGTTCTGACTGTACATGAGAGAAAATGGCAACTGGCCCATGCCAATGATTGCAAGCCCTTTGGTAGTCAAAAATCACACCACCGAACTAAGAAGCTGGATCTGAAATGCCAATGTCAACAAGGAAGTTTTTAAAGCTTACCACTCCATCACTCAGAAACCTGGAGAGCCTGTATTTAACAGCAAACCTGGCTTATGGCTGAGTCACAAGCAGGACTAAACAGCTACATCCATTTCTTTTTACCAAAACTAGAGTACTGAAGAACTCCGGAAAACTAGTGGTTCATGGTATGCATGCCCCAAGCTGAAAAGCCATTACCCAAAACTCAGCCCCCACAAAGGGCTGCAGCACTGCTGTCAAGTGTAGTCATCAGGACTTTACTGAATTAATTTTTTTTTTTTTAAAAGTACAGAAAATCTCTGGAGAAATATTGACTACAGCCCATAATTTGATAAACTACAGCTGTTTTCTCACAGATGAAAACAAAAATTTGGAGAAAAGTCTTAAGTATGGACTTGAATACAGTCAGAGTCTCACCTCATTTTTCCATCAGATAGCTAACTTTGTGAATCCTACACTGGGCTAGCATAGTAAAATTAAAAAAGGTAATGTTTTCACAACTGCCCCTACCTTCTACTACTCCGTTTCAGTGCAGACAAAAAGCTTCTCAGGACATGCACCTCTTCTCACTATCACTAACATTTATCATAATTGCTCATTTCATTAATACTGGGTTCCTACTTGCTAGGAAAAGTGAATAAAGACGATTCAGTTAAACCAATTCAACATACCCACAACAGAAACATCACTCTGGATTTCACGCTGACTAACTGCTGTTAGTGGAGAGGCACAGGCTCCTCATCATGTATTCAGCTCAAAGCTCCAATACCCAGAGCAATGCCTGAACTGCGCAGGGTGCAGAGATCCCTTCCTGACTCTCCCTACTTGCCCAAAAAGGGGTGCTCAAGTAAAAAGATCAAGAGGAGCTTTGCCTCCTGCTTCCCAGTAACTGCAAGAGATGGTCACAGGCTACAGAGCTCATCTCAATGACTTCTGCAGCTTAAACAAAATAGACAGAAGATGCTTTACCACCCACCACCTAAAGCAGAAGTCAGCAATCCAAAGCACTTAACTGTCCAACTACCTGTAACCAGAGCAGCATCTTCCAGAGACCCCTGAAAAAGAACCACCTCCCTCTGCTCCTGACAGCATGGATGCAAAGGGAAGGGAAAGAAAAATGCTTGTGTGAAAAGAACAAGGTAGGATACAGCAGGGGTAGCAAGGGCAGGAGCGGTTGTGATGCTGCTTGGCAAGTCATGATCTGTTTTTAAATAGGCAAAATATTTAAAGTACGAATAACTTGGCAATCTCTGTGCTCTTCTACCTTTGACCTGAGGAGCACTGCACAACCATTTTATGCAACATGACAAAGCCAGAGGGCTGTTTCTACAGCTAACAGCATAGCCTTGATCTACATCTAACACACGTGCAGGCAGCTGCAGTTGAGCAAAAGCCACTTACAGGCCAGTCTGCGGTGAGACGATCCACAAGAGGAGAAAACGTGGTAAATTCTCAGCGGCGATTTCTCATACCAGTGTCCACAGGGCAGAGCCTGGCCAGGTCCCTTACATCTCTGCTTCTTTGATAGAAGTTTAAGCTTAACTGCCTATATCCCTGCCTTTCTGCAGCTACTGCTCAGTCCCTGGGGCTCACCTGCCTGCAGCTCTCTCATTTTGGTTCTTTCTTTGCATTACCACAGAGCCTGGCAGCTCTGCTGACAGTTTCTGCCTACAATAGCTGACAATCTGCTTCTCAGACAAGACACACAGAGATGGGGCACAAGGCACAAGTGAGATAGCCCTGAACAGCATACCGGCAATAGCTTCATCAAATCCATAGCCTGCCAGTTACCAAGTTTTTCTTTTACAGCCTCTGCAACAAGACAAGTCTTAAGAAAAATGTTGAAGGAAAAGAAACGGGCTTTCAGTTGCTTGTGGGCAGCACAAAGCAGCACAGGGGTATGTCGTTTTTCTCAAGAGTCCCGGAGAAGAAGGCGGAGGAGGGTGCTGGATGGGCTGCACAGGGACAGGAGCAAACTTATCTTGCCAGTGAATGAAACATGGCGAGAGCACGGCCTGGAGCTTACAAGGGGCTGGAAAAGGGACCCAGGCGCCTTATGCCTGGCATTCATGTATACTCACAGCACAGAGGAACACAAGACCAGCTCCTAGTACAATCTACAGATTCATGTATAAATGTCGCTCTCTGGATTGATCAACTATTACAATTCTCAGGTTTCTTGAATTTGATTCAGTTATTCTTACACTTGACTCATTCAAATATTACTTCTGTATTTAATCTGTATTTGCCGCCTTCCAAAATATTTAATGCTGTAAATTAAGATTAAAGCACTTTTAGGCTTTTGTTAGCCATAGAAGTACAAAGTTCAGTTTTGTGTTGTATAATTTTATGTCAGCATAATCTGATAAAGCAACAATTATCTCCTGTCGACAGTTTGCCTTGAGATGTATCTGGCAGGAGGACAGTAAATACTAATGATAGAGATTTCTTTTTCTTAATAAATCAGTTTTTGCTCTTGTCCCGGTGTCTTTGAAGAGATGCCAATCTTCAACAGAAAGAACGGGGAACAAAAATTGAGTGCTCTGTCTGAAGAAAACTTTTCTGCAACAAATCCTTTCAGTTCTTTGTGCTGATGTACAGTAAATGAGAGTTTTAATTCACAGCCAATCTACCTGTGGAATTATTGCTGTCTGTTCCCTCTGTTGGGAGGAAGAAATTAATATTGAAAACTTTACAAGCTGTTTTCCACTGTGCTCCTCTACAGGCTCCCAGAGCTCAGGCTTGCTCAGATCTAGATTTAACCCCCTCTCTGACCACAGCTGCACTGCTGGGAGTGCAGCTTCTGCTGTACACATACTCTTGTTCCGACTTCTTAATTAGCTCTATCCCACTTCTTTAAATCAG